GTGGACGTGGGGGTGGTGGTGGTGACTACCTGGATGGAGGGGGTAGTGGTTTGGGACTCGAGGGCGGTGGATGTGGGCATGGTCGTAGAGGTGGGTGCCGTGGTCATGACCACGGTGATTGTCGAGGTTTGATGCTCAATAGAGGTCATACCGTTGGATAGGCCAAAGATATTGGCTTCGATTTTGGTGATGGATGCGAGGATGTCCGTTTGGAAAGAGGACCATGCGTATGAGGGTGGCGATATTGGTGGCAACTGGCTCGGATCTTTGTTCGCTCGTAAGTTCGCGAGCGAGGCTGTCAACAGACTGGGTGTTGGCGGCGGTCATATCGATGCTGGAGGATTGGGCCATGTTGGGGGAAGATGGAGTGGATGTGGTGGCTGAGGCGACGACTGCGGATGAGGTGGAGGCCGACGCGGCGGCAGCGGCGGCGGCGGCCACGCGTTGGGAGGTCTTGGTTTGGCGTGGTGGCATGTGGAGATGTAGGTGTGGCAGGGGTGGGGGTGGGGAGGGTATTTACAACATTAATTGATTTATTCCAAAATAAGTAAAGGTATGTGCCAAAACAATAAATGAATAAAATGGGAATTAATTCAAAATAAATTATTCCAATTTGGAGTAACGAGATTAATTCAAAAATTCGGAAAGGATTTCAGGAATGAAATAAATATGCTGAAAATCTCGGGAAAAAAAAAAAAAAAAGCGAATAAATAAATTCTGGTTTAATTTATTCGAAATCAATTTTGCGGTATGAAAAGCGTGAAATTTCAAAAGGAATTAAATATTTCAAAAGTTTGAGAATTTCGAAAGGAAATTTATTAAAATATACGAGAAAAGGAATCACGGGGGAGCGCGCATAGCCCGAACTTGTAGTTGGGGGTGGCGGAGGCGAGAAGGGAAGATGGGCGCGAGGGCGTGGGGGGGTATCGCCTGGCACAGCCATGCCCCTGCCGTAGCCCGGTCTCGGTCGACTTAGGTCGGCAATCCTGTGCTGATCATGGTTGGATGGGGACTGAAGTGAGGTGGTTGGCCAGGCGGGATCTGAGCGTCGTCTCATTCCAGAATTATCACCTGGTCAGGGGCTTTGCCCACTGATTATAGATATGGAAACCTAATGACTGCACAAGATGGACACGTCGATTGTTGGACTTGCGGGGAGGTACGGAGCTGTGGAGCGGCGACGGGAAGCTGCAAGGACGAGGATTGGCAAGTGCGCGTACAGATACCCGACTCTATCACTTGGTGAAGGGGTGACTGCCCCTCCCCCTTTTTCGCTGGGAGTGCCAAACAAGACAAGATGATTGTTCAATGGTCATGGATATCCGTCTGTAGAATTTGTAGAATTGTAGTGTTGGAATTAACTATCTTCGCTGTTTTGTGGTGTTGGGAATTTACCTACCTACGAGAATGGTTGTGACTTTAGTAATTCATTGGGTAGATTTTGTATTCTATAATTTCGTTTGTTGAACTTTGTGCACTGGGTTTGTTTAGTTTGGCTCTAACTGGTGTTGTAAAATCGGGTTGCTTAGTTGGTTTTAATAGGAGAATTGCAATTTCAGTGCTTAGGAATTGGTGGTGGTTGTCGAGTGATTACGGGATATTAATTGGAACATTGGAAAAATGAAAACAGAGATTAGTTGGAAGCTTAGTAGCATTAGAATTGAACTTTTTGAATTGTGCTTGGTTCTTAATGGTTGGTTAGTAGTAGTTACGCTTTGAGTAAATTCAATTTGTGCTCATTTCTTAATGGTTGGGTACTGGTAGTTAGGGTTTGAGTAAATGTTTGATTGATTCTGGCTTGGTTAGTAGTAGCTAGGGTTTGAGTTTGGCTGCAGTCGGGGATGGGATTGGTTGGGAGTGCTTTTCCCAGCCTCATATGGCTGTGGCTCATATATAAGGGACGTCGGACCCGTTTTCCAGCATATAATGGAATGGTCGAAATTCTGGTTAAAAAAAAAAAAAAAAAAAAAAAAAAAGAAATATCGAAAAAGAATTTACTTAATTCTAACGTATTTTCAAAATTTTTGAAAAAGAATGAATGAAAAGTAGTTTCGAATTTCAAAGGAATATCAAAAAAGAATTAATTAATTCAACGTATTTCGAATTACGAAAAAAAAAGAAATGTTGAAAAAGAATTTAATTAATTTAAAAATATTTTTGAATTATAAAAAATTCAAAAAAGAATTAATTAAAATTATTTTTGAATTTTGAAGAAGAAATGTCGAGAAAGAATGATTAATCCTACATATTTTTGAAAATTTTAAAAAAGAAAATATTTTTGAAGAAGAAATGTCGAGAGAGAGAGTTAATTAAGTACTATTTTCGAATTTACATGAATTTCAAATGACTTCTAAAAACAGTAAATAAAAAAATAAATAAATAAAGGAATAAATTAGTTTTGATGTAAATCGAGGGCGGAGCGATCCTATCTACGGTTGATTGGGTGGGTAGCGTGGTAGGTAGGGTTAAAAAAAAAAAAAAAAGGGGTTGCATGAGTAGATTGACGATGACGATGATGATAATGATGATAATGATGATGATGATGATGATAGTGATGGTGATGGGGGGGGAACTTGGGGGGAAAAGTCGTGCAGGGAGGGCGAAGGTCTGTAGCGTGTGGCGGGGGG